GTAAAAATATAAAATAGAATAAATTCAGGGATGTAGCGAAGAGAAAAAAGTGGGGACGGAGGATGCAAGAGAAATTTTTTGAAAAGTTGAGGATGTATTTTAAAAAATTTTGAACATGAAATAATGCATTTACAAAATTTTAAAAAGTGGGAGGGGTGCAGATCCTTATTTTTTCATCTCACGGTCGTTTTTTTAATAAATTAACAATTTTTGCTGGGAAAAAGCGAAAATTTTCTAAAAGTGAGGGGGTGCGCACCCTCCCTGCACCCCGTGATCGCCACATCCCTGAATGAATTATTATAATTTTTTAAAAATCGAAATCATTGTTTTCTAATGGTACAAGATTTTCTTAATTTAATAATGGCTTCAGCAATTTGTTTTTAGAAATCTCTAGGACAAAACATGAACAATATGTTACAATTGAACAATCGATTTAAATAAAAAATCCTCATTAGAAAAGTCTAACAGATAACACAGAGAAGGTCATACATGTGACCATAAGTAATCTTGAATCGAACTTATATCGGTGAAGACATGAATTCTGGTGAAAATAGTACGACTCATATACATTCATATACAGACTGTATGTTACCGTAAAGCAAGCCTGTAGAACATAATTGTGTTTAATTGGAATACACCATACAAGCGACGTAGTACAGCGAAGTTGAGATGCAAAATACACCTAACTACAATCTTTGTCGCAAGAAGAGGGATTACGTTATAATTGTTTTTTTGTACATTATGTTATAAACTCGTAAGATGCTGGTAGTGTTGAAAAATCAATAATTGTAACTTATTACACGCAAGACATTGTATAATTGTGAAGCGCAAGTTTATTTTTATACTCATTCGAAACAAGGTAGGCTTCTTCGACGACTAAGTCTCTTTGACGTAAATTATAGTTTCATTTTAACTATCAGCATCCTGTCAATCTATATATATATTGATGAGCCATTTCTATGTAAACTATTATATTTTTTCAAGGTGATAAATTTTAATTAATTTAATTGTGCCATGTAAAATGCTATTTTCTTTTATGTAGAAAATACTTGTACAATGAAATCGAGTATTGGTCTATATGTTGATTTTGAATCTGCAGTGATATTGTTCAGATTAGGCTTCGTATTACTTTATATCAAAAATACATTTACAGCCTTGTATAAAACAATACTGTACATGTTTGTATAACTTTTAATCTCAAGAAATTTTTTTATCTAGGAAAAGAAATGAAGTGTCCAAGTTTCACATAAGAGTGTATGATCCATTATTTGCTGTATACAATGGAATACTAATTTAAAACATAGTAGTCACTAACTCATACAATCATGAAATGATTTTTGCTCAGTTGTTATTATCAGACATATCGAACACAACTAGAGCCAAAGATTCATTGTTTAAAAGAAGTAAAATCAGAATTCTTTGTAGATTATCCAGAAATTTTCCATATACATATATTTTTTTTTATCATTTTAATGTATAGTAAAGGATAAGAATTAGTTTTAGAAGAAAAGAGTTTGATTTAATTCGCAAGACAATTTATTAGCTTCAATTCTGATCAGACTGTTTATAGTATGATATGAGACAGTATCAAGAATGCTTTGCAATTTCAAAGCCTCACTCGCTCAGAACACATACTCAGCTATCATTGATATTTTTAAAATGAATATTTTCCACAGGGCAAAATATTTTCATAGACCCCGGTTAATATGGTTCTAATAGTATGATCTTGTATCTTATTTTGTATAATGTCAAATACAAACAAAATCTTGACATGAATCTAGCTAGGAGAATACATTATATGCGGAACACACTGAGTGTGCAGATTTATTAACTTCTTTTCGTTTTAGGAAACGTATGATATTACTAAATAATAATCGCAACCAACACACAAGTACTAATGTTCATATTTAGACTGATACTTTAGCTTATGTATGACATCAAAGACTTTTCCAACGCTTTTACAGATTCCTAATGTTCACAGCATTTTACTCATACCAAATGACTTATGTTGTAACGACAAATTGTTGAAGCGTGGCAGTGACATTCAAGCAGTGTCATTGAAGGTTGATTTTTGAGTTCGACGATCGTAAGTGATAATTCATATGAATCATTCTCATGTTTGAAACGTTGTAAGGAAGTTAGAAATAGTTGACAATCACTAGAGAAACATTTACGGCCGTTCGTTTAGTTCGATAACAATTCATGTGTAGAACAAGAAAATGTATCTTGCTATTATCAAGGTTAAATAATTATGCGCTACTGTCTGAAATTGTTACCTTACCAATTTGTGGTCTTTTGCAAATCGATGTTAATATTTGGTCTTCTGTACGTATAAATATGCTCGTTATAGAAAATTAATTATTATGATATAATTTGTATTTATGTTTAGAGCGTGCTCAATGACTTTTTCACTATCCGAAAGCATACAGACAGAGAATCGTTATAACTAATATTACATGTAATGTACCACTGCAATAAATAAATTAAAAATACTAAAGAGTAAAGAATCTTGACGAGCCTGGATTACGACTTTTCAGAAAGCGCTTCTCGCCTTCATACAGCGACGCTCAAATAAACAGTCAATTATGTGATTGAAGATGTTTTTTCCAGCTTAACGGTCAATTTCCACGCGCAAATCTATTCAAGATGATACCAAATGAACTGAAGTTGCCACTACTTTAAAACCACATGAAATAACAACTCTTGATCATCCACATCCAGCATCCAAACCATATTATTCTACACCGTTCATACAAGAATAAATGCATAAGATTATACAAGAATTATTACATTTTGGTTTAATTCGTCCATCTTATTCACCTCATGATGCAACTGCATTACTCATTCCTAAAAATGATGGTACATGGAGAATGATAGTTGATTATAAAAAATTAAATAATATTACTATTAAAGATAACCATCCGTTACCGAATATGGAACAAGCGCTCCAGATATTAGGTGCTGGTTATCAATTCCTTTTCAAGTTGGGTATGAAAAGCGGATTCTGGCAGATTCCAATTAAAGAAGAAGACATACAAATAACACCATTTATTACTCCAGATAGTCTTTACGAATGGAATGTATTAGCTCAAGGATTAAAGAATAGTCCACCATCTTTTCAACGAATTATGGCTGATATATTATCTTTATGTCGACAATTGGCATTAGTTTAGATCAATGATATTGTAGTTTATTCTCAATCATTTGATGAACATCTCAATAATGTTATACAAGTATTATCGATCTTATTACAACATAATTTTCAACTTAATCCAGTCAAATGCAGCATCTTTCAACAAAAAATTGATTATTTATCACATACAATTTCTGTAACTGGTGTTAAACCAACTGATGAAAAAATTCAAGCAATTATTAGATTATCTGAACCTAAAGCATTACCTGAAGCAAATAAATTTCTTGGTGCATTATCTTGGTATCGTAAATTTCTACCTCAATTTGCAACAATTGCTGTGCCTATTTATGCTATTACAAATTTAACAAAGCTGAATAGAAAAAAAATTAGTTGGAGAGAGCCACAGAGACAAACATTTTTACAATTAAAAGAATTTTTAGTTAATTCTCCATTATTTCTTGATTTTCCTAATGATAATTACCCGGTTATATTGACAATTGATGCATCGAAACTCGGCATTGGTGGTATATTACAACAAATCATTAATGGAGAAACAAAAAAATTTAAATTATCATCCCCATGTGGCCTCCTCTACTCAAAGAAGATATGATTCAATCGAATTAGAAGCTTTAGCCATATGGTTATGTTTTCAACGTATGCGATCTTATTTACTTGGGAGTAGTTTCACCAGGAATCTCCCACGTTTACAGTGACCTTCAGCCGGCAAGCTGAAACTTTCAGCAATTGAAGATCTCAACACTCTAAGACCTTTGATGAAAAAATTTCACGGACTTTCATTCGGCATCATAGTTTCTTTTAAACCACAATATGTCATCTTTCGATCTATAAGAACTATACATAGCATTTTTCATCATTTTGTGGGATTAACTTTTTTTCGTAACTATAATTCATAATTGGAAATTTATATATATATATATGTATAGTACTAAGTTAGTAGTTTAGGTATATGACTATATCGGCTCATTCATATTACTGGTACATAAATTTACCTTATACGACATTATACAAAAAATGGAAAAAATGCTAAAATAGCCAATTTTGGGATATACCATTATCCATCATAATATGATAATTATCTTTTTATTTGAGTCATATTAAATACATATATCTAATGTCTATTTAAGAATATAAGAACTACAGGTTCAATGGCTTTCTATTGGTAAATAGGTAATATAGACTGTCACTCTACATTTTGCTTTAGTGAAAAAATTACATATTGTGGTCAAGATTTCTTACAAAAGCAAAATTTGAGAGCATATCGGACAATAGTGTGGTGAAGTACTAACATTCGCCTATTAGCCAATATATATAGTTCATCCCGCGACTTCGAATTTTCCAAATAAGATTAAGTGAAAAAATCCAGTTTTTAGCTCACTATTGCTCATATGAAAATTATTCTCGAACTTTGCTACTGAAGTAAGAAATAAGACGGACACGGCAAATCCTTACACGACGCAAAAACTTAATCTAGCTGAGTTTTCTAGGTTGTTTCCATGATAATAATGAAGCATTCAGAATCTGTATATGCCCATGATACAGCGATACCAGCTAAGGAACTTACCGAACTTTTCTACTTGATCATAGCTAAACTAAAATAAAACTCGTCGCAAGGAGTATCTTGTATCGCAAAATACGACAGATGCATTACATTTCATTTTAGTATGAACGATAACAGGGTACATCTGTCATATTAGTTCCTATGATTTTTCCAATCTAACACTCATGAAAACAAAATATTTGATTGTCTTACCGTCACATGCGCTTTTCCCATGTGATGTTGCAGTAAATATCCATTCTGCTTCAAGCTTAAAGTCAATTTTATGAAATGTCAAGTTTAGCATGTTAAACTTGTTCTTAAAGTACATTGTCGCACCATCTGATACGTAGATGACTTTTTTAACTAACGAAAAATTGTTCTTGATAAAATCGGTTATCTTTTTTTGACAATAGTATACAAATGCTGTATCATGGTTTAAATAATTACTAATAATTGCCAAATTTACATGAGACTCGCCGACTTTGATGTGAATCGTAAATAGAGATGCCTGCTGTGTGCTCCAGTGTGCAGATTGTACTTCTCGTTGAGCAGCTAATGTGTAATTTTCTGAAAAATCACAGGTGCAAACCACATAATCATTATCATTTGATTGTTTTTTAATATTAGCAATATAAGATTTTTGTTGATCTTTTATAAAATGGTGATTCAAAAGAACTGGCCATTGTTCATCAATAGTGCCGATTAACGTTGATACATCACTATGTATTTCTTGCAAATGTATTTTACCAAGTGTTCGTACTTAATTGAACCATGATATTTCATCATCTTCGACGTTCGAATATTCTGAATCCGTTTTGGTTAAAATGCAACTTGGAAATTTATCTCAACAATTGCGACATTTTTGTGAGTAACATTGTTCTGCTGATGATGTACAAAGAAGTGATTTAATTAATTGTTCAATGTTACACTTTGTATCACTTCGTTTATTCCGTGACTAATTAAAAATATGAAAAGCAGTATAAAAAGTAAATGTTTCATAACTTACCTCGAGTAACAAGTAAAAGTTTTCGTGGTATGTACAAAGACAATTCAAATGAGGACTTTTTATTTTTATCCATATTGATTTTAAAGCATAGAACTTCGAATGACCTATTCGAATAGTTGGATATTCATCCTTGAATAAGAGATAAGCTTCTTTAATAGTCATTTCCATGAACCGAAATATTTTCTCCTCCCCATTGACCTTGATTCTATCTTTTTTATTAGAAAACTGTCGATTTATTTTATCATCTTCATAAAATTGTACCACCTGATCGATAGTAGCTTTCTGAATAGGACTATTACCACTAAAAAAAACTGGTTGAGCTAGTGTTCCATGTGATTTCCTCAAAAGAATTGCCTGTTTAGATTGATGTTCTGTACAACCAAAATAATATTCTATTTTTTTTCTTCCCCAATCAGGTGATGCTATTGTCAATAATTGAATTTGTTGTTCTTTTTTGCTGAGAATAAAAAATTGTTTGATTCCGTTTAATAAAGATTGATAATCATTTAATTTAATATCCATTGCTACAGTTCCATTGGAGTTTTGAAGCATCGTCGTTTTTGAATTCAATATAGTTTCACATAGATTATTAAGAGCAATATTAACACTATCTAGTTTTTCACGTAATTTGTTGGTGTGACGACTAAATTCATAAAAAAAAAAAGTTATTTCACAAAAATATTACATGAAACATACATATCATTGACAGGTTCTATTTTTAATAAATGAAAAAGTTCATTCAGCACTTTCAATGCTTCTAATTGAGAATATGAAAAATCGTTCATATCTAGTGTTTCTATATCCATTAGTTCATCATTCTTTTCTTCAAATATTTTTTCGTTCAAATCTGTTGAGCAGATAAAATCATTTGCATCAATGGTTTCGTCAAAATCATCTTGTATTGATTTGGCAGTACCATCTTTTTTAATCATATAATCATATTCAAAGTTATAACAAGTGTTATATAAATAGTCTGATCCTTTTATTATGACTTTTGTATCACCAATTATACGACGATAACGTTTGCATATGGAATTAGCTAGCCTTGTTCTAACTGAACGTTTGCCTTTTGGATGATTAATTGATCGATCGACTTTGGTACAATTCTTGTGACGTGAAGGATGCGCACACCACTTCACTAACTTTGAACTCATTTTTAATAAAACTACGTTGATTTACTAAATCTTTACAGAATAGAGAAAAATAGAAATAATCAACGTAGTCAATTCCGTATTCTCTCGTGAAAAAAAACGTTAAATCTTATTCGAATTTTAAAAAATTGACTGGAAAAAACAGCTGTTTTATATGCACATTCTTCTTTTTTTCTTCTTATCCATTTTCTTCTTTCCTTAATATAAGCTGTGATATATCAAAACAACATCGTCGAAATAGAATAAGCGTCTAATAGGCATATGGAGTTGTTGTGCAAAATTCAGTAGAAAAAATTATTTTATTTTAATGGAGTGTATCAATCAATAAGTAATTGAATAATAAAAATATTGATTTTATTGTACAAATTGATTGGATATTGTTGAGTAGAAATTATAAATCTGAATGGTTAATTAAACTAGATACTTCATTTATTATTTGTAACAAGATAAAAAATTTTTTTTATAAAATAAATTTCGCGATAAATGGACATTTAATAATTTTCATATGAGCAATAGTGAGCCAAAAATTGGATTTTTTCACTTAATCTTATTTGAAAAATTCGAAGTCGCGGGATGAACTATATATATTGGCTAATAGGCGAAGGTTAGTACTTCACCACACTATTGTCCGATATGCTCTCAAATTCTGCTTTTGTAAGAAATCTTGACCACAATATGTAATTTTTTCACTAAAGCAAAATATAGGGTGACAGTCTGTATTACCTATTCACCAATAGAAAGCCATTGAACCTGTAGTTCTTATTCCCTCTACTGAAAGGAGGGTCATACACCGAGCAAGGTTCGTATGTTCGTAACTTCGTTCGTTCGTTCGTTTGCACAGAACGAAAAAAAGTTTTTTTTACCTATAACATCATCAGTCCTGCAACAAAACTTAATCTTAGCTATTGGATTACTCGATAGTCCCACCCCCTCCCCCAAACTAATCAGATGTCTGCTTCATCTGCATGCCAGCCAATCAGATTTCAGGTAACATGTTTTCAGCCAATCGTAGGTTTTCACGGATCGGCTATGCACCAATAAGATTTCAAGAGTGTCCATTTGGGCCAATCATAGGTTTTCACGCTTTGGCTACGCGCCAATTGGATTTTGAGAGTGGCCATTTGGACCAATCATAGGTTTTCACGGTTTGGCTATTCGCCAATTAAATTTTGAGAATGGCCATTTGGGCCAATCATAGGTTTTCACGGTTTGGCTATGCGCCAATAAGATTTTGAGAGTGGTCATTTGGACCAATCATAGGTTTCCGCAGTTTGACCATGCGTCAATGAGATTTTGAGAGTGGCCATTTGGATCAGTCATAGGTTTTCACAGTTTGGCTATGCACCAATTAGATTTTGAGAGTGGCCATTTGGACCAATCATAGCCTTCCACGGCTTGACCATGCACCAATGAGATTTTGTGAGTTGAGAGTTGCACCCATCTAAAGTTTTCCGGTTAGGGTGGATATGCATGGGCGTGGGTGTAGGCGTGAATGGTGTATGATGTGCGTGTAGGTTGAATGGAGTGGGGTTATGGTGTGTGTGGAAGTGTGGGCGTGGATACGGCTGTGGGTGTGGGCGGTTGTGAACGTGTGTGGTAGTGAGTACCCAGTACGTTTGGATAGGTTGGAGTGTGAGTGTATGTTTGGATTCGGAATTAAATGAAATGTATTCTTATGTACACCGACACCGACAACTACACTGGATCCTGCACACATACGCACTCTGTATGTGTTTCAAAATGAAAGTTGAGATTTGAGTATGGTTGGAAAACCTATTGGAGCAGGATTCTTGGGATTTTTTGTAAGTTTTAGTGGTATGTGGGAGCTAATAATGCTAGTGTACTAGTTGTTTATGGAAGTTGGTCTAATGAAATGAAGGTCGTTCGGTTGCCTCTAGTTCTCGATGTAGTTTGTCGGTTTGTTACGATGAGGTCACATGAAGGTGCACTTGCAAGTGTTGTTAGCGGAGATGTTGGTAAAAAAATTTGGTTGACATTGCTGATCTTCTCTGAAATCGTTACTTAAGAAACTTTTCTTTCACGGCGTGTGTCATATGTAGTTTCTGTTGTGTTGTGTAGCTGCGAAATGCTGCTTGGGATGCCGATTGAATGCACGAACGATAGTGACTTTCTATCAATACCGTTCGTTTACATAGTTCAAATTCTTTTCTTTATTTTTTATCTTGATGGCTTTTATTTGAAATATAGTTTCGTACGAGCTGTACAAGTGATCAATAGACTATAATTGTAAAAAGAACAGATTTGGAGCATACAATATAGCTTTTTGAGTTAGATGGTTCTTCTGAACATCACGGCACTCTTAAGATGTTGTTGTTTTAAGCGATGAATTGAAAACGTTTCCGAGTATTTTGTGCTATTCTATCTAGTCTTTTAAGTTCTTCTATTTTGGCCGTTGACGGTTTAACTGGAAGTGTTGCAAATTCAAATGGACGTATTATTAGTAAATCATCAAGTCTCTTTACACGAGATAATGGAACGTAAACCGAGGCTAATTTGAGTGGACCAGGCGGCATGACCAGATCGACGATAATTTTATCCAGTGTTTGACCTTGGCTTTTATGTATTGTCATGCTATATGGCGATATAAGCGGAAGTGCTTTACGTTTGACCGTGAGTTTTGTTGTTTTCTTGTTTATTTTGGCCGCTTTTGTTACATTTTCTGGAAGAAGTTCTTTGGTGTCAAACAGGAATGTTTGTTCACTAACAGCTATAGGGACTATTTTGGAAGACAGTTGAGCAAGTTTTTCATTAAGTTTGCAACTCGGAAATTCTACTAAAGCGTACTTTGGTTGCGTTATAAACTTGGGATTTGGTGGAAAATTCTGATTGTGGTATCGAACATCTTCTGGTGGTTCATCGTATACAAGTTGACGGAAGATTCCTTGTGTAACGTTAGAGAGTCCGAGCTCAGTAGCAATGTTTTCTGTAAGTAAAAGTGGCATTCCTGGTACAAGTGGTAAATACCCTGAAAGATGTTCGGTTTTATTGTCACGTAGTTCAAGTATGACTTTACGTAATCGTAGATCATCCACAGGTTTTTCGTGAATATAATCTTGAGCAATACAAACAATTGGAGTAAGTCCCATTTCAATTATTTTGTTTAAGACAGCCCTATTGTTTATCTGAGTGCGTAGTGTATTCCGAAAAACCAGTATTGGAGCCTATTAAAAGAAAAGTAATGTGATACACAGAGAAAATGAGTGTGCATACTTCGTTTCGTGACTTTTGTTGTAGACATACTTAAAGTTTTGGATTTCCTATGATTCTTGCACACAGAAGTTGATAATCTTCCATTGTCGATTATCCATTTCTTAACCTATTTAAAAGCTACAAATATCGTACATCTACGGTACGCATTTGCTGAGTTAATTCCACAACGCAGTTTATTTCAGACATAAGCTTCAGTGCACACAACATATCTATCTGACGTTCTGTAACTTGCTGTGTCGGTGCGCAGCTCCAGTAGAGAGGCTTGTTAAATATAAAATAAAGATGTGAGGTACCATGGCTTCTAGCTGTGGACATAGTTCTTTCTCATTTTCTTTCTTTGTGAAACATTTGTCTTCAAAAGACTGTACCGGATTCCCTCTACTGAAAGTTCTCTCCACTGGAAGAAGGGTCTTACGCAGAATAAGTTATGTACGTTCGTTCGTTCGCACAGAACAAAAAAAAATGACCCTTTGACCTTCTGCAAGATGGCTTCTTACAGGAAATCAAAAAATCAAAATCAGTGAGATTGGCCACCTCGGACACAAGTTTAAGCCAACCAAGTATTTTCTGGGTGTCGCGCTCACCTAATAGGATTTCGAGGGCCCAGAATTCAGCCAATAAAATTTCGAAAGTCCAGAATTCGGTCAACCAGGTGTTTTCTTGGTGTAGTCCTCAGCTAATAGGATTTGGAGAGCCCAGAATTCGGCCAATCACGTGTTATCTGGATGTGGTCTTCAGCCAATAGGATTTCGAGGGCCCAAAGTTCGACTAAGCAGGTGTTTTTTGTAGGTGCGGCATTCAGTCAATAGGATTTTGAGAGCTCAAAATTCAGCGATTCAGGTTTTTCTGGATGTAGCTTGCGTGGAAGCAATTTTGTCGGGTGTAACTGGGTATCACTATGAAAATTTATTCGTGTAAGTCTTGTACAGTAAGATCAGGATGTGGAAATGGTCGTTTCTATGCTTTTCGGTTCCGGTGTCGGCTACACAGTTTGTATGGTATACACAGGTGATGATATTCCTTTATGTAGACACTGATACGAAGACTCGGATCTACTCAACCATCTTCGCTAATGTCCCTCACGAACATTCATATTCAAATTTGACATGGAATACAGGAAAGATTTCATATACGTTATGGTGGGATGAGTTCAGTTATTTGCTCGGGTTGTGCATGGGTAGCTATACAATATCAATCGGTGGAACTTTTTTAAAGATTAAATTCTTTGCATGCAATGATATACGTATATCGCTTTTGTTGCAAGATATAAATTCATACAAGTTTCATGAAGGATCAATAGAATAAGATATCAAAATGAACACAAATCGAGCATACAATGTATAGTAAATGCTTTACAGCTCGCAGGTTACTACGAAAATTTGAGTACTGAGAAAATTTTATAGTTTTAAACAGATAATGGAAAACGTTTTCTAGTATTTTGTGCAATTCTGTCTAACCTCTTCAGTTCTTCGAGCTGAGCTGTCGATGATTTCATTTGAAGTGTTGCGAATTCAAAAGGGCGTATGATTAGTAAATCATCAAGCCATTTCACACGAGACAATGGAACGTAAGCCGATGCAACTCCAACTGGATCAGGTGACATGATAAGATCAATGATAATTTTACCGAGTGTTTGACCTTGACTTTTATGTGTTATCATACTGTAGGCGGAAAATTAGAAGAAGAGCTCTGCGCTTGATCGAGATTTTTGTTGTTCGTTTGTTCATTTTTGCAGCCTTTGTCACATTCTCGGTAAGAAGCTCCTTGACATC